TTGAGCTTGCCAAGGACTGGGATAATCTGTTTGTTTGCACAGGTTTTGTGATGCAAACAGGGAGTGGGAGGAATTCTGGAAAAAAAAGACAAAAATTTAGGATGGATGAAGGAAAAACTTTTGAACGGATGTTCATGAATTTGAATGCTAGAATAAGAATTCAGAAAAGCAGTAACAATTTGCAACTGTTTGTCATGTGAAGGTGGCAGAATGTGGGGGGGGGGAGGGCATAGGTGTAGCAAGGTCATTTTAATTGGGGGGGGGGGAGGGTTAACAATTTCTTGAAAATGGCACTAGCACATCCGTGCTGAAATGTAGACAGGTTTTTTCTCCGGACACTTGGCCTCCGTAAAATAAAATAGTTGGGGAGGGGGGGGGGGGGAGGGAGGGGTTTCTCCGGACACTTGGCCTCCGTAAAATAAAATAGTGGGGGAGGGGGGGGGGGGAGAGTGTACAATCTTTCAATGAGGGCGCTGTTTAAAGTGGACGATCATACACACTATCCGACAATATGTGATGCTTTTCAGGGAGGCACACGCGCGAAATTCCCAAAAGGGCACTTGTTACAGCCACTAGTTAAAGACACCATTTTTGGATAAAAAGGGCACTTGTTTTAAAAGAAGGGCATTTGTTTAAAAAAAAGGGCACTCTTTAAAAATATTGGTGGGTAAACACTGCAAAGAAGGGCACAAAAGTCAAATTTTATTGGACATTTATACCAGTACTGTGCAATGTTTGGAAGTGATAAAAATTGAAATTCTTCATCCAGCTGTGGGGCTGAGGATCATTCCTGCCTTTGACACTGTCAATCCAGCATTTTTCCCCTTTATTCTGAATTTTCTAGAGCGTAAATGCATTAACCATATGCAGTCATTACTGAAACATATACATGTAAGTAAGCATGTCCGGTAACGAAGCGGAACAGAAGAGAAGAGCAGGTTGGTTCAGTTTCCTCATCAGTATTCTCAAGCAGTTCTCCATTTCACATTTCTATGCTTGGTTAGCAGTGTAGAGTTTGCCTAAACACTAATGACAGTGGTGCCCCTTAATTAGGCCCGACCACAAAAACTGTTCCATAATCCTTCAATGTCAATCCTTCTGGTGTGTTATTTTAACCCAAACCTTCTTCAATCATCAAGGTCGTTTTTAAGGATTTCTGAGGATTGAGGCTGAATGGCAAAAAAGTGTTGGTTGATTCATTTTGGAGGATGCATTTGCATCGAGTTCGTAGGCTGTACCCTGCCTTGTTTATGTTCAGCCATGCATAATTGAGTCCTGCATTATGCTCGACATCATCTGCACTGCTTTTGAATGTCATCTGCACTGCCTCAACCCATTAACAGTGATATTTGGAGGATTACTTTTGAAGGATTGAGGCTGAATGCAATTTTTTACATGGTCACAACTGGAGGATTTTGCACGATTGAGGATGATTCCTAGCCAAAAGGCCCTAGGGGGTTAGGTTAAAGATTCTTACAGACCTGTGCTCATTATACCGAACCTTTTCTCAATACAAACTTTTTTCAGTAGCAACCAAGTTTGAAACAAACTGCTTACATTCCTTTCTCAAAAGAGCGTGATAAATAAAAGGTATTTTTCGGAACACACCTTTAGATCAACAAAATCTAAGAGAAATGGGAGACATTGGGGAGGACCTTGCTAGTTAGTATGAATCTTTGGTAGTAATTTTTTTTTATCGATCACTCTTGTTACATACCGGTTCATCCCACGAACAGCAACACAAAGATAGACAAAACAACAGATATTCGTTGTTATCCTTGAACTTACATCTTTTGTTCAAAACGGTCCTCGAAAGTAAGTCTGTGTGCTTAGTCTATGGGAGAGTGTTAAAGGAATGAAAGGGAAACGCAATGCCTTATCCTCAGACATAATGTTAAAGTACAACTGTGCGTACTTTCACATTACGCTTTGTTTACAGGTGTGCTTTCATTTCTCCCAGCCACAATTTTTGGAACATGACATCACCTCCCCACATGGCTCCCATAATAAAATATGTAGTTTCTGAATGGGTGGACTTAACAGTAGGCATGTCACTCTTGCCCCCCCCCAACTCCCGCAAACCCCTTGATGAAATTTTTGATCGAAATGTGAACAGTGCGTGCTATCTCTATTAATCCCGTAGTAACAAACTGGTCCCTACATAACCAATCTCTAGTGCTGTCGAGGTCTCTGTCCCCTGCTCACTCAAACCACTCTAGGCTGTGCAAACCTTGACCATTACAGGACGTGCAAAATAAGGGGCGTTTTTTTTCTTTCCCTTGAGCGATGAGAAATGCCACTCAATAATTGATGCCCATACTCTGAAAACCAACAACCACTTGCCCCAGTTCTTCAGGGAACAGCGGAACGAACCAGGTCATTAAAAGCAGATGTGGTTTTAGACCCAAACAAAATAATAATAAAAAAATGGGGCATAAAATAAGAATGCGGTATTTTATCTATGCCAGACCTCATTTTCTTAATAGCCTACAGTGTTAAAAGTAATTTAGAGAAGTCAATTTTGAACGAAAACAGGAACATAATTTTCAAGAAAATTTATAGTGTTGTGCATTTTGGAAAAATTTAGTCTTTTTTTTAAATAAAAATTGGGGCATGAAATAAGAATGCGGTACTTTATCTATGCCAGACCTCATTTTCTTAATAGCCTACAATGTTAAAGGGAAAATACAACATTTGCAAACATCAAAAAATAAAACTACCAAATCATTTTGAAATACCTTGCTGGACTGTTAGTGAATGACAGTGTAAAGCATCCTGTAAAATCATGGCACCTGGTATACTGTCATTTTCAAGAAAAGTGGTATTTTTGTATCAATTTCCAACGCTGATCGGCCGATCAGCGTTGGAAAAAACTGGCTTTTTTTCAAATACTGGCTCCAATTGACCATCGCACTTGTTTGCAATCGATTACACACCTATGAACGCGTACAAGCCATCTAGACTGGTTCCCTGACCTTACAATTCCCCAATGTATGTAAACTGCTCTGTTTCTTCTTAAATGGAGTCAGGGAACCAGACTACAGGAAAATTATTGTTTTTCTTGGTTTTTATAGCATTTTTGAACCCAAAACCTCAAAACAGTCAGTGTAACTATATTTGCTATATATTTCCAACCCCCCAATTCCATCCATTTCTGAAAATTACAGCAAAAGCAAATGATGTATATTCCCTTTAAAGTAATTTATTAACATTTTGAACTCTTTTTAGAGAGGTAAATTTTAAACGAAAACACGAACAGAATTTTCAAGAAAATTTAGAGTGTTGTTCATGTTGGAAAAATTTAGTCTTTGATTATTCTGACTTGGACTGAATCAAATTTTTTAATATTTGAAATGCGCTGATCAAGTTTTACACGTACACCAGCCTAAACTGGCCGCCGATCAGGTTTTGTGTGTGCTTTTTCAGTGATACTTGACAGATTTTATCTATAGGAGATATTTGAGCCAATATATTCCCCATGAAAGCTCTGAAATTATGTATGTTATAATTACTTTCTACACATTTGTTACGTTTGACAAACAATAAACTACGCAATTTATACAATTATTTTCATCATGTCCTCGAGACTGCTTACATTTTTCAAATATTTGAATCGAAAGAAAATGCTATTCGGATATTGATGACTGATTGAATACAAAAATGTTCATTGTGTACGGCAAAGCCCTAAAAATTTAAAAGAACAGGGTACATGTATGTGTAGAAGCTACGGTAGATGACATTTTATCCATTTATTGTTTTGACCATTCAGACCTGTGAAACCGAGCCTGCCTAAAGTCTAACCCGTCCAAAATGCGCTGAAATCCAACCCCAGGTTTTGTACATAATTTTGATGGACGGAGCACAGTAAAGCCTGGTTATTTCTTTACCGGGGTTTGATGTTACATAGTTGTTTTGTACGTAGAATGTGCCATTGGTTTCTGCACAGCACCAGAATGTGGCGTCTCCAGCCAGGTTTCTATAGCACAAACATGACAAATTCTTAGATGCATGTTTTAGGGTAAAAAAGAAAAAAAAACCCCAAACTACTTGTCACGTATTATTTAAAATTGTCTTGTCTGTCATGATTGCATTCTTTTCTGATCCCATGTATATAACTATTGAAAGTCTTTTCTATCCTTTAACAAGTGGTTAACAAGTTGCGCTTATCACAAATTGTGCATGTTGCACTGAGGGGGGAAATGGGGGGCCATGCCTCCCCCCATTTTTTTCTTATTTAATCAGAGGACACATTTTTGTTTGACATTTTCAGGAAATAAATTATATGTTGCGTATCTCCCTTGCAAGCCATCAGCTATACCGGTACCTGTTACTAGTTTTGTGGAAATGGCACACGATACTATATACATGTACATGTACTTGATCCCCTTGATCCTCCTTTAAAAAAAATTACTCAAACCCTCTTGTCCCCCTTAAAATTTGCTTCTGGATCCGCCCTTGGGTCACATATGTGTATGTGAGCTTTTCAAGTACACCAAAACAAACTCTGAGCCTACTATACACTTTTCTCACACTGCAACACTATACTTGCACACTATTGTTTGGTACACCTACCGGTACGTCCTCGTATATTGATGGTGAAAAACATCAACATGCATGCACCAGCTTGTTTTAAAAGCCATGCATCATCAACATCATTTTTTTCTACTTTACTTTTCTGTGTGGATTATGCGGCAAACAACAAGGAAGTAAACTCTGCATTGAAATAAGAAGGGGTAAACATGACTCGGAAATAACAAAATGTAGTGATGATTCCCCTGCCCAAATATTTGTATAAGATATCATCAGTGCCATTTCACCATGAAGGGCTGTCATATGTACTCTTGTGCAAACGCATACATATATCACCCTGCTATCAAAACAGTCCTTCATCACTTTTCAGAAAACCATTCCGTTCGATCTGACCAGATATTGTGTTTTCATATTTTTATTTGAAAAATTGCCTTTCTTTGTATACACTCAAAAAAAAAATTACATCCCATACTGAAATATTCTTGAACAACATGTAAATTTCAGCTGTGTTTCCATTGACCCTTTTTTTGGTTAAAGTAACTACTGCGACTTTCCGTGAGAATAACAAAATTACATCCAATTGTGACAGCTGAACTAGCGTTCCTGTTAAAATTACAACAGCTGTCATGTACATACATGTGCAAAACTACTGGGCCGAAAGATGATGTAGAAAGTTTCTAGGCAGTCACAGTAGTTTTACAGGGAGGCCTATATTGGACAGCTCAGCGGTGTTAAAATAAATGTATTGTATTGTTCAAGTATCATACAGGTTTGCTCATAAATTGACGAAGGGCAGTTATAAAGTTAATCCTTTTTTTTGACAAAGGGCAGTTAAGTTAATACACTTTTTAATGAAGAAGACGCGCAAGTTATAGTACTGCGTATTTCTAAAATTGAAAATTTACATATGATAAAATTATTATGCATTGTTTGGAGAGAATACGTATACATGTTTTACAAAATAAAATGTAGATTAAAATTTGTAGTGCAGAGTATGAATTACATGAGGTTTGTCCTTAGAATTCATAACATTTATGTTGAGACGTCTCCTATTTGAAGACAAGATGTTCAATGAAAACTATCCTTATTAGAAAAAAATGAAAGAGTTGAGTTAACTTGTTTCAAAACATATTAACTGTCCTGAAGGTTGCAGTTTATTAGTTTTTGCAGGACTGTTGAGACAAGTCACTGTTATTTAGCACAGTGCAGGATATCAAGATTAGTTCACTTAGTTTAAGTATAGGGGAGTAATTAGGTTCATGTGTCTTGGAAGTTAAATTTTGAAGAGTTTTGTAGTTTTATGATGTTTCAAAAAGTGCATGTGGTGGCACCCCTGGTGCAGAATTATGCAACCCAAGTACAGGTACAATGTACGTAAGATAAAACATCACTAAATTAAGAATATTTAGTAGTACTAGTAGATTTATAATAACTTAATTATCAAACAAAGGCGATTTATAGCTCCTCCCCACACAAGATCTTTAACATGAGCTTGTCGGAAGCAAAAGACCTCTCAACCCGATTCAACCCAAACTATTTTTGATTCATTGCGACTTGCCATCACAGCAATTGAGCTAAGCACCTATATTGTTTGAGTCCCATGAAGTGGTAACCTTTGACCCTTTTCTACAAAGCGCTGCTGCTCCTGCAGGTGTACTTAGCAGCAGCAGCCGGCATCGGAAGGACCTTGCCGAAGCAAGTCAGCAGGATTCGTTGACACTCATGGCGAAACCTGGGGTTTATCAGGGAGTACAAAATGGGATTCAGTATGGAGTTGAAGTAAGGCACAATGTTCCTGCAGATGTACAGAGCTTGCCGTGTGAGGCTCCCCTCCACGTCGGGGTCTAGAGTGGCTTCATAGATCTCTGCAATCATTCTTGGCATCCAACACAAGACAAAGGCGCCTATGACCAGCAAAAGACGCTTGGCAACGATGAAGCGCGTGTGGTGCATAATCTTTTGGCCATGGCTGGCGTTTTGCGTGTCGTTGTTCCGCTGGGATATCACATAAAATATTTTGGAGTAGGCTATGGCGATAATCAACAGGGGCACCAAGAGGCTGATAAGGCTGTCAGCTATGGCCACTCCAAGCCTGAGCATTCTGATCTTGTCACGCCGGCACTGGTCTTTGTAAAATAACGAAAACGGAATGGAAATCACAATGGTGAAGGCCCAAATGAAGAGGATAATATGCGTGACACGACGCACCTGGGTTCTCCTGTTGAATGGCAGACAGAGGCAGTAGAAACGGTCGATTGAGATCCCAACTAGCATCCAGGCAGAAGCAAACATGACCACGTGCCAGACATAAGCAAAGACAGCACACTCTAAGCCGACGATAAGCCGAGTAACAGCGGCATATTCCAGGTGGATCTGTATAGGAATGGCCACTATGCAAACGATGAGGTCTACCACGGCCAGGCTGCACAGGAAGTAGTTGGCAGTGGACTGGCGCTTTCGTCGGTTGCGTAGGTACACCACGATAACCAGCAGATTTCCCAGGATTCCTATTACCATGAAGAACGCCATCAGCACAATATTGACGGCCATGCTCCAGCCACTGCCAGTAGCCAACGTCGAGTTGCCCCCAGTTTGGAGGAGGGTTGCATTCCTTAAACTAGTGAGGACTACTTGCGTGTAGTTCCTAGACTCTTGAGCCACACTTGTAGTATAATTATCTATTCCCATATCGGTCAGGTTCACCAATGATGGAGTGTTGTTGCTTGACAGAGTCAGCGGCAAATAGCTCATAGCAATAGTTGTCATACCTGCAGTCACATGTTTTTGGATGAAAACTTTATATTGGAGCATCCATCTAGTGTTTTATCCCTGCACAAGCAAACAAATTGATTTGGGGCATTACTGTCCCATTTATATCCAAAGAAGGTGTACTTGTCGTCATCTCTATGTTTCATTGATTTGCAGAGTGTGGTCAGTCTCATTTGCGAGGCATGATGCTTAATGGAGAAGTGAGCCCTCTCTTTGAAACGTGAAGAGCTTTCCGTTGTGGTACCTGGTCTCTGGAGGACCAACTGTTCCCTTCTGATGAGTCATGCTTGCAGCAATCCAAAAAATATGCAGCCCTCGGAAAAATAATTACTCGTAGCTCTTAATCAAATTTGTTCTCAATCCAAGCAGCTCGTTCGAACCCCAGTCACGTCTGAGGTTCAGAATCTCTTCAGAAGATTTGTGGACTACGGTATGTACATAACTATGTTTTTAAAGGTCTTAGCAGAGCGTACATTGTACGCTGGATCCTGGTCATTATTCAGCATCCTCGTGAGGGTGAGGCTTGTGGCAATGACACTGAACAGATCAAAGGTTGGCGGAGTCGCTTTGATCCAACAGCTTGTAGGCTTTACACAAGACCTGGTAGGATCACTTCAGTGGATAACCTTCTCAGCACCAGATTGGTCCGTGTGTATGTTAAAACCCCTGAAAATAAAGAATGATATTAAATTAATTGTCTAGTTCGTGTTCTTCTCCCCATTTTTTTTTGCTTATTCTGTCTTTCATGTTCTGTGGTACCGTACATGTACACCAGTCTAAAAGTGTTAAACGGATACAAAAAAATTCAGATGACGAAATTCACTTTTTTATTTTAGTAATGATCATTTTATGGATAGTGAACGGACACAGGGAGAAAAAGTGTGAATGAACTTTTTTGAGCAGGTGGAATTCAGCCATTGCCAATCAGTCAACACCATTAAACCTGTAAGGCGAGAGCAGAAGAGGAAACATGAGTTTTATCCTTAACAAAAAAAAATAACAAGAACAAAGCAATGGGATTTGATTCAATAAATCTTGATTGATGATCGTTTAAAAGAAAGTGCATTTGGTCATTAATTCCGTCAGGCATTGCAGGTACTGAAGATCAAACACTTGAGACGCGTTTGATGTCGGGCCGTCATATGCTGCTACCTTGGGCGGTGTTGCCCCTAATTGTCCAAATCTTTTTGTAGGATGCTCCCTAAAAGCAGTGTAAAACGTAGAGAGGTATGGAGTATTTGTCTCTGAAGTGTTATGTGCTTGGAGAATTTGGTGCATTGCCATTTATCGGCTGTTTCGGCAACTTGCCGAAACAGTCTTTGTTTTTGTTAAGATTTTTTTTCCCCCTTAACTCAACTGTCCAAAGGTTTCAACATCATCCATCAACCTGCGATCACACTCCAATCCACACTTTCAGCTTTCCCAAGGCCCACGTACCAACATTCGTCACGGTCAGCGGGCGTTTGCAGTGGCTGCAACTATACACTCTGGAACAGGCCCCCCCCCCCCACAGATCCAAGACTCATCCTCAATAAACTCATTCAAAACGCAGTTAAAAACATACTTATTCACACAGTGGAGAGCGCTTTGAAACACCCGTAGAAAGCGCTATATAATTTTTTATTATTATTATTATTATTATGGGGATAAGAGAGACCATTTCATATCAGGTGCACCAAGATATTTGACAGAAACACGACAGAAACGCATCAGTCAGTTTCCCTATCCTAAAGCCATTCATTCCTTGTCATCCGTTAGATTGATTAGAACTGGTACGGTTTCTCTGTAAACGTGGTTTGTCAGTCGTCATGTAATAGATTGCCATGTGGTTCACATCATGTGCATTGTACTTAAATGTCATATTGATGTCATTATGAAAACGGTTATGCTCACTGGTGACATTTTAATGGTTCCGTCATGTTTTTACTTTTGCGGACGGCTACATTGTGTACCCAATTAGGAAGTTGCAGAGGTCGATTTTTTTAATTTCCAGTCATCAGTAAGTGACAAGGCCGTAAAATGGTGTTATGTATAAACCTCTGAAGCATTGAATTGTCTTTTTTTTACCATGCACTTTTTTTTTACACAGTTTACCGAAATCCTACCTAATCCCCAGACGTACCCCAACAAAACCACCAAACTTAATCATTAAAAATAAGGCAACTTAACTAACCTATGTACAAATGTAATTTACTATTAAAACCCAACCTACACATGTTCTCCTAGAATAGAACATACCTTACGAAATCACACCAACCAACACCATCCAATTCACCCCAAACCAAATCATACCAGCCCAAACCACATCATACCAGCCCAAACCACATCATACCAGCCCAAACCACATAAAACCAAATCCAAGCCATTTGACCTGCATGTATCTCTGACCAAACCGGATATTAGGATAACCCAGGCCAGGACGCCACAATCATAGAATTGATCACATTTTCTCTAATTTCTCTAATTCAAAACTGTTACTTCTGGACAGACCATAACCTCAAGGCAACATGCTGTCGCCAAACTTGACACCAACAAGCAGCTGCCTGACTCAACATCATTAATGCATTTGATTTGGCCAGCTGTCTATCCATCAGCCTTGTTCCCTTCTGCTGTGTGTCTTCTCTTCCTTAAAACTTCACCACGAAGAGTAAATGTGGACATTGCACTTGTGTCTGGAGTGTCCTCTCGGTTAACCTGGTTCCAGTTAAAAAGCCATTTTGTGCAACGGTCTGAGGCTAAGATGTGAGGCTCGTTGGTATAGGTCTGCTATGAAAGACAGATCAGCATAAAGTTTCTGGTGCCGCAAAGTTTTTTTGCTTAAAGCAGAATCTGCTGAGAACCTGTATCAAGTTGTTAACATCATGTGAGCTTCTGAGTAATAATTAACAATTGCTGACTGCTGTGATGTGGGATCTTCCATTTTGAACACCCGAGGGGTGCATACCGGTAGCACCCAAGGTCGAATGTTATTTACCTCTGTCTTGGATTGTTTGGATTTTAATGTAAAAATAACGAAATCAAATAGCTGTAAAAACACAACAATCATGACAATCATGACAATCAAACGGCAACTCACATGTGTGTCGCGTGCTGGAAACAGCTGATCGTCTGCTAGTTTGCTGCTCCCACTCATGTGTGAAAACATGGTGAAAATAGTGTTGGAACCAATGATACAAGCGTTTTACACCGTATACGTACCAAACGTACAAAGTCATAGCACACTCCTGCCTCACGTGTACACCTGATATCCCACGGGGAGTGTGCCATGACTTTTTATAAACTTAACACGTGATCATTCTAGGCCAATGAAAATACAGTATTCAAGACAGAGGTATAATAATGGTATTTGATTTGCAGAGTTATCAGCTTTTAATTGGCCTTGTTGTAGGCTTGGAAACTCAAGTCAGTTAATTCTGGCATTTATAATTATATTGGTGAAGGTAAAGATGCATTTCACATTTGATGGAGTGTGCAACAATGGGTGTACAGTTGTTCATCAACTACCAGCTTTCTCTTTCCCTCTTACACTGATGTCATTTTGTGGTGATTATAGGCCAATAGCACTTTTTACCAATGGACTCATATAGCCCATCACAATTATTACCCCTGTTCATCAGGCTATGAGATTTTTTTTCCTTCAGCAGCACACTGTAGTCTCTACCCTCACGGGTACTCATTTATACTCCTGGGTGGAGAGAGGAAATTGTAGTAAAGTGTCTTGCCTAAGAACTAAAACACCATGCAGAATTTGAACCCACGTAGCATGGCACTTTGGACCACAATTATAAGCGATGAGACCTTGCCGGTCCATCTACTGAGCTCTGAAATACTTGAATCTTGAACAGCAGATGCCCTGATCAGTGATCTATCCAATTGACATTCTTCTTCAATTTAATATATCATAATTTAGAGCCATCAATTGATGTATTTGCTTAATTTGTCCAATGAGTAAGTTGTACAAGAAATATTTTTGATCATCAGAGTGATTGACATGTTTGTGATATGCTGCTTAACAGTTTTAAACGTGGGGTATGGCCTCTTGGTGTTAAGATGCCAGACCCATACCGTGACAGTTTGACAATTACCCCATGGGATGTTAATTTGAAATCGTTTATTTATCCGGTCTGTTCCAGATGTTTTTGGACGTGCACTTACATATTACTTCCGGAGTCAGCTCTCCGGACATTGACATTGTTCACAGCTTGGAATCTGACGATACCGCCAACTGGTCACGTCATGTCAGAATAAATCAATCTTGACAGTAAGCCTGCAATAACGTTCAAGTTTGCTGGTGATTTTTAGGGGGTTGGATAGGGTGTGTTGAGGACATTTTTACAAGCTGATTTAATTTTTCCTGACTAAGTTGTTTGGGCTTCAGATTAATTGGTTGTTTTTTAATCTTTTTGCTCATGCGGGCTGTTCCTGCGAATAAATCTTGAATGTTCCTTTTTTGTGACATACAAAGTTGCTTCTTTTTTAAACTGTGCGCTTCCTCGTGTTCAAACTTAATTCAAATCTCAGCAATAAGTTTCTCCAGGGCGACTATTGAACGCCAGTTTGAAATGAGAGTAAACCAGCACATGTGTGAAAGTAAACTCACTGATGTTTGAATAAGAGGATTGGGAGAGAATGATATTATATTTCCATCTCATGAATAATCCTGTACTATGCACCCTGCCATTCTGTACTTGTAATTTACTTTTAACTAAATCAGTGATTCTTTGTTTCCAAATTATCATCTAATCTCCTGCACTTGGTCTTCAACTGAATTCAATAAATTCTCTTCCACACTATCTTCATGTACCTGCAGAACATTGCTGCATTTTAATTTTTATTAGTGATTTCATTACTCTGCTATCCTGATGCCATTCAAGCAACAGTGCTGTTTGAAGAATCATCTAACTGATCAGGGGATTTGTTCCTTTTTTTCAGTTGAGGCTCCTGCATGGGCTGAAAACGCCAGCGATATTAAAGTCAGTCATGTTTGATCAGAGAAAAAGTGATATGGTGTGGGTTTGTGCTCCACAGGTTTAGACTTTTGTCTGGCCCGGGTGTAGAAATCGATCGAAGTTTAATATGAAAACTTGCCTACAAGGGCAAAACAGGAAACTTATGCTCCAACCCACGCCATCCCCTTCGTATTAGATAACAGTTTATATTGCCATTGCATTGTTGCTTGCTGACCACAAAATGTAATTTTGATGCGTCAATATAAGTACATGTATATTGTCTGCACAGTGCACAGGCTGTTATGATTATGAGCTGGCATGTATTTCTGATCAATCTATTTGATAGGCATTCTAACAAACAACGTTTGATTCCTAAAAACATTTTCTTGTAGTTGCCAAGTAAACCTTTACACTGGTTATACATATAAGTAGCTTATCAGTTGGGATCTAAAAGGGACGTTTGTTGAGGCTAAATTCATGTTTTTTTTGTATCTGTTGGTGTGTTTTTCTTTATGTATGAACTGTTTTCTCTACAGAACTCAGATGTCTCCAGTATTGTTGGCTACTTTGTTTCCCCCTCCCTCCATCCCGATTGAGCTTGTGAATTTTACTCACAAGCATTAACCCTTTAGCACTTGTATGAAATTGTATTACATTGCTTTAACTCCTTCAT